CTATTCTCTCTCAAACATATTTTCATATCAAATCGGTCAGTCGTCAACATTTGTATATTTTCACTTTTATCTGTTTCTAAAATATGCCTTAGATTTGTTGTTTGCAATTTTTGCACGTTGATAAAGTTTGTGCAGATTTACTAAAAGCACTCGTCTTGTTTATTGAAGGTTGATGAAATTTTGAAACGTGACTTTTTGCCACAAGTCACAATCTAAACATGTGGACACTGCCAAACAGAGACTGGATGCTCCAATTATCGTTGGAAATACTTTTAATTAATTCAATATTTCACCATATTTAAAACTGGTAGATAGATATAAGAGGTTGGCATGCAGGTAGTTCCCGAGCCGACGTCGCGAAGCGCCGTGCGAGAGTACTAATTCCCCCTGGCTATTTACACCCGGGAAACGAAAGTATTAGCGAAGTCTAAAGTTCATCAAATATTGCGGGCGTGACCAACGAACTTGAGTGGGTGGTCATCCTCACTGATCTCAAAAATATGGCTGATTGCTTGTGGGAGTGGGATAAGCAAGATTTCAATTTTAAAAGACATATATTTGGAAAATTGTTTCATACACAACAAGCTTGAAGCAATTTTGTTTGAAGAAATGAGAAGAATTGATTTGCTATGGGAAAATGGGAAATCGTGAAATATACGGCAAGTTTGCTTTGAATTTTGTTGCTCTAACTTTTTGCCTAAGAACATGAACTGTTTTCCTTCTTAACGAAGCTCTAAGTCATAAATTACCGTTTAATTTGAACAAATTGATTTGCAGACTGAACTAAAATTACCTTTTAAACAATTTGTTTTGTGTGTAAAACAGTTTATCGGCAAATGTAGGTTAGTTTAATGAACATTTCAAAAATTTCACGAAGTGTTTCAAGTTAAATTTTACATTAAATCAAGGCTCACAAAATGCAAAATAATATACCTACAGTGTATATTTCGGAAATGTATTGTTGTATAGTTAAAAGTACGAATCTTTCAACTATTTTCGCTGTTTTATACAAAAAATATGAAAAAATTAAAAATTTAAGAATATCGTGTTGTCATGGCAACACTTGAGCATATCGTGTCTTTTAATTTACTTTTGTTCCAATTGAAGTGTTCCTCAAATTTTGATTCAATACATTACCTCAGGCTGACCAACTCATTTCATCAAGTTGCTCGAGATATTCATACACTTCCTGTGAAAGAGCCAATTCCAAGAATTTGATCATTTCCGGTCACTTCCTTTCTATTTATGATTGGTTAGTTGCATAAACAACAAAGGTGATTGGTGCATTCAAACTATTCAACAGGAAGTTTACAATTATACTAGGAAGTGTATGAATATTTCGAGGAACTTGATGAAATGAATTGGTCAGCCCGAGGTAATCTATTGAATCAATATTTGAGGAACACTTCAACTGGAACGACGGTAAGATATCGTGTTGCAATCGGCAACACTTGAGCGTGAGCCTGCGTTCAGTGTCGGCCATTTCTAAATACTTCATGTTAATTTAATGTTTGGGAAATATTAGCGAGGGGTTACTGCATGCATGCTTTTCTAGTAAAGTATAAAAATTTTCAGATGAATGTACAAAAGTTCTCAGCCTCAGGGAAATGCGCATATCAGAAATTATACGTACAAACACGACTTGAGCCTTTTCAAAGCCCCATGAATTAAGCAATGGGCGCTAGAAAAAAAATTGAAATCCATTTTATGAAATTTGCAATTGCACCGCGAAATCTATAGTATGTACATACTATTTCGATACTATATCCTTGGTATGGAAATATACAATTATTATGGATAATCAAAATCCATTCTATTTCCAGTAAAGGTCCATACAATTTCCATTTTATGACCTTCTATGGGTTTTCAAATTTTCTTCCAGTGGGGGTAACAGAAATATTTATAAAAATTTTTTGTAACACGAACATCGTCACAGATTATTCTATAAACCACGGCATAAACACTGATATGTAACACAACGTACCATTTACTTAGTCTTAGAGTTAAGAAATACTAAATAAGTTGTTTCAGCACAAATTGGTTCCAATTTGCATCGGAAAAGGGATGTTCAATTAGGTAGAATCATAAATTTTGTGAAGTTTTGAATCAGCCAATATGGCATGGACACAAACTTTTGTATTAGTATTGTACGTTTATTTAATTCGATTAAAAAACAGGAGGGAGATTAAAAAGTTTGTTTACTAAGGAATGGGCTTATTGAAAGAGGAACTTATTTGGAAAGGGTCGTATAGTAAGGGAGTACTATAGTAAAATAATTCCAAATGAATTATCGGAAATTGTCAGTATCTTTTTAATTAGTCGTAGGATATGTAAATTAAACACGCGTTAACGTTGTTTAATTTAGGATTCTTCTTCTGGAACTGCTTATTCTGGAGCTTCCAAAAATGTTGGTGGTGACCTAACGGTAAGTAACAACATTTTGCTTTGTGTTGTCAATGATTATTGCAAGGTAGGAATTAGCATTCTTGACGTTTTTCATGTGTATAATAATAAGACTGGATACGAAATAGTATAAGTAAAAGTAAGAGCCATGAAAAAAATTACCATTATCATGAGTGCGTTCAGGAAATTGTTGCCAGCCATCGCCAACAAGATTATTCAGCGGGTGCAGTATAACAAGTAGAGACACCGGTTTTTTAGTCTATTTACGAAATAGTTTGTGGGCCATCTAATACACTCATTTACTTCAAGTTTGTCTGAACTTACAGTTACAGTTTTGTCTAGGATAGTGGGTCCATTCCCTCTTGCTGTCACAAAGTCAATTGGTTCTGTTGCACCAAGAATTGCATACTTTTTTTCTTATGTTCCCAATCACTCTTTCCACATGTATTCTTACATTTGCAATATGCCTTGGTTGCTCCACCTCAATACCACTCAGTTGCTTTTTACCCTTCGTAAAAGCTGGAACTTTGATTGTGGCACAACATAGTCCAACAGAGTCTTGCATATCAAAACCACGATCGGCCAGAATGACATCCCAGGTATTAACTTATCTAGAAGGCCACTGTTTTCGATTAAGGGTTTATCACTGACTCTACCTCCCCAGCCATTTGAGATGAAGCACACCGTTCCCTGTGGAGTTATACCAATCAGATATTTAACTGTATTATGATGCTTGTATGACGAAACAGTCAATTATAACCACACATCGAGAACAGTGTCTACGAAAATCCATTGGCAATGTCTGTCTCAAGGTATCCCGGTCAGGCCAAATGATGAGTCGAGCCAAATGACAATACAAAACATTCAGTGCCCTTAAGAATACTTTGGAAACAGTGGATTCATGTATATTTCCAAATCGGTAAGCCAGGTCTCTGTCAGATAGGTTCAGCCTAAGTCTCATCAGAGTGACAAGCACTCTCTGAAATGGTGACAAAACACATCTGGCAAACTGTGACAGGAAAGGCTGTACCAAATTAAATACGGCTGACAGTAGCATCCAATTTGGCAGGCCAGTGTAAAATAGCACCCTTTTGTTGTCATTCATAAATGCTACCTCATCCAATGATGTTTCCTTAAGTTTTGCCTTCAGAGCAACATTTTCTGCAGTCAAACGACCAATTTCTGTCTCAATGTTTTCAATTCCTTTCATGCGCTATGTTTGTTTGGGCTTCTTGCTCGCATGTGTTTGAGTTTGTCTGTCTCTCAGCTGTATCCATACTTTCAACTGCCTTACCAGTTTGTCCATGCTTATATAAGGCAAGCAGTGCTTCATTCAGAACAGTCGCTTAGTCTTTCTCTTCCTCAAGTCCATTGCCAGGAAAATGTTGTTGAATATGAATCTCTTCCGGCAACTGGTAACCGAGATATTGAGAAGGCGCCCAATCGGGATTAGTTTTATCACGAAGTCTTGATGGTTTGTCTGTACAACACATAAAACGATAGCTATATTAAAACGTCCATAAAACAACCGTGAATGCATACCGGTATACATACAGTAAACTAGGGTACCTGAAAGGTAGGGATTGCTGGGAGCATTAAAAGCAAATAGAACTACAGTAAACTGCACAAATTATATCAACAACAGTGATTACTCGCAACGACTAGTTAGTGACCTGTGATAGCAAAGATCGCAAAGACCAGGGGTTAAAGGGCAATCAGGGGTGACAGCTATTAAACATGTGCGTCTCATTGACATTCAGGTGAATGAATATCAGATTTCATATCAAGTCTGTTTACTGCTAGGCGCATTTACCACATTATATAGAATTATATAGACTATATACAAAGATTTATCACATTAAGAAACCAAAACTTTAATCTTGGCTTTTTCCATTGTCTGTAATTCAGCGATAAATCTAAGAGGCTTCACAATATTCAGGCGTGACCGATCCGATGGTAGAAGAAGAGGGAGTATTTGTGCTTATATAAGTGATTCACCTTAGGAACGTGCACATCCTGAAGTCGAATCGCTATAGCTGCTAATAAAACTAAGTCAGCTTCATGCAAAAGGAACCTGGAGTGAG